GGTGGCGAGATCCCCGTGGCCCCGGCCCCGCCCCTCCGTACGACCGAGGGGCGCGGGCGGGGTGACGGGCGGCGGTCTCCGCGCCGGGGCTGGGGTCTGCGGGCGTCCTCTCAGTCCCGTCCCCCTTCCTGGGGTAGCGCCCGGGGGTTGGGCTGGGGGGTGGTGGCGAGATCCCCGTGGCCCCGGCCCCGCCCCTCCGTGGGACCGAGGAGCGCGGGCGGGGTGACGCTCAGCCGCCCTTGCCCAGCAGTCCGCGGGAAGGAGCGGGTGCCCGCAGTTCTCCTCGCAGCCCCCCGGACCCGCCTCCGAGATGTCGTATATGCTCCCGCACTTGCACAACGGCTGGCAGGTGGATCAGGCCATCCTTTCGGAGGAGGACCGCGTGGTGGTCATTCGCTTTGGGCACGACTGGGACCCCACCTGCATGAAGATGGACGAGGTGCTCTACAGTATAGCCGAGAAGGTAACGCAGCCCGGCCGCTGCGCGTGGCATTCCGGGGTCAGCCTCGGTGGCGGTCTGTTCCCTCCGCCTGGCCTGTCGGCAGTTGCAGAGTGAGGTCCCACGTGCGTCCCCGCTCCTCGTTCACGCCTTCCTTTCTAACGCGCAGCCCGTTCAGCACACTGTACGCATTAGCTTCTGCCTTCTTCTGGGCGAGGTTCCGTCGACTTTCCGGTTTTAAAGAGGTTCATGACTCCTCCTCTGCAGTGCCCTGAACAAAACGCACTTAGAGACTTTGGCAAGAACGATGGAGTTTACTTAAACTGCTTAGTTTAAGAGGATTGTCCACTTTGGCTACATTGTTTCTTGTGTTCGTGAAGCTGAACATTCCTGTGAAGCGGACGGTAAACCCTGTTACTTTTCTTCTGGTCTTTTCCCCTCCATACTCTTTGTAAGTCACTTGATTTGTAGCTTCCAGTGATTCAGTTGCAGATGTTAGGAGAAAAGAGAATTGTGCTCCTGATTTTTAATATTAGTACTGTAGCTTGTCCTGGTGCTTGTTTGCTGATAAGGGAAGTGCCGTCCTTGGCACAACATGTTATGTAACCAGGGCTTAGTGCTTTTCTGTAGTTTCTTCATGGTGATTTGAAGATAACTTTAATTTGGAGTTTTGCAATTGTAGCAATAGGACAAAGAGCAAATACATTATGGTGTTAATAAAATATCTAACATTGACATTCCATAGATAATTTGAGAGGTCATTTTAATGAAGAGTAAAAGTAATGGAAACATTGAAGCCATGTTTTCTTTCAGAGGAATAAGGGGTTAAAATAACTTGGTAGATAGTAGCAGATGTAAGGATATATCTTGTATTTCGGAAAGGAAAATTTGTCTGACCTTCTGGGACATCTGGGGGGCTCAGTCAGTAGAGCGTGATGAGTTCGAGCCCCACATTGGGGTTAGTTTACTTAAAAAACAAACAACTAACCTTTCATTGCTAGTTTTTACTCTGTCCTATTTGGTAGAAGAGGCAAAGTGCGGCATGGGTGGTGGCATTGGGAACACTAGAGACCGTTCTTCCGTGTCAGTCATCATGAGCATCACTTGGAATACTTGTGAAGTGCATCTCAGAGGTTCTGATTCTATTGGTCTGGGGTGAGGTCCAGAAACAGCCCTTTTAAGAAGCTGCCCTGGGAATTCTTTTTTTTTTTTTTTTAAAGATTTTA